CAGGGGCCCATAACTAAATATGCATTTACGTTATATACATACACACACTCCCCCTGGGGTTAAAGATCATATGCCTCTCTGAAAAATGCAGATGAAATATAAACTCCCTCACAGACCACCCCATTCACCTTAACACAACACGAACAAGGGGAACAACCGCTCCTAGGAGGCAGGGGGCTCCGTTCCTATTTTTCTTTTGTTTGACTTTTTCGAAATAGACCGACCACACAACTTAAACTCATGGAACTGTTTTGGGCAGGAGCCTCGTGTGCTGTCGGTAAAATTAGTCTTCCATACAATGAATATGTTCAATATGTTGGTCACCCAGACCAGGGCTATCAGGGGATATGTCATTTATGGGGATACTATGTGTTTTGGGGAAAATGTTTTTTCTGCCTGGGGATAATTGGGTTATCCTTTAGTTTACTTATCTCACAGGAAGAGAGGAGGGGATTGTATGTTTGCAAAGGGAGTGTTTCACTTTGTCAATGAAAAATGATTAGTTGCAACCTTTGTATCCTGGTGTCCAATAAGGTCCAGGTGGGAGGTCCACTTACATGGGGACTTGCATAAAAGTCAGTGTGGCATCAATAAACCTTCATTCAAGTTGTACCATTCGTGAAGTCTAGGCTCATGTTTGGGTAACCATCTACTGGCTGGTGAGAAAGTACTTGGAAGCTGCATTCGTCCAGAACTATTCGTGTCTACACCCGAACTGCAACTATAATCACTAAAGCTCAACAGTTCGGGAGGAATAGGCGTACAAGGTACTATAACTACCAGCGTTCTTAACAACCCCCAATTAATTAAAATAGTCATATACCATGTAAATCTTTATTGGAAACATAAAATAAGAAAAAATAATAACCAAAATTAAATAACCATAAAAATACCAACTAAGTGACTGGCAGTTGGATGGGGGGAGAGTGGGTAAGTAGGATTAGATGGGGGTAAATGAAGTAGAGGGGGATGGGAGTAGTTATGAAATGCTCAGCTTTATATCTGTAAAGTGCAATATACAGCTTCCACCTGATCACCTGTGGATAGACAGAAATAAACTTAACTTTGTGGATACTTGCTTCCCTCAAGTTACCTCCCAAAAATGGTAACTATATACAAGATATTATGAAATGCAAACAGGACAGGGATCCAGCTTGTATCATTAAAACATAAACATAAAATACAATGTAATATTGTTATAGCCTTATTAATCGCCCACACTTCAAGCTGAATCCCTGTCCTATTTGCATTTCATTATATCTGTCAAGAAAGCAGTAATGTCTACTACTTGCCATATAGACTTTCTACTGCAACACTAGAGAAAGGTTGTAACCTATATTGGATACAGAGTATTTTATGGGGCAATTTAGTATCTTGTGGAGTAGGCTGTATAAATTAGCAGATTATCTTGAATAGATCCCTAGATTATACTGCAGGCATAGCCATCTAGACCCAGCAATAACAATAAAGCATGGGCTAATTAGAGCAATAGCTAATTATGCTGTTGGAATTAGCTAGCCCTGCAGCAACGACCACTTCCCTATTAGTTTGCAGAGCTATCTAATACACGAATGCTAATTTGCTCTTGTCTAAATAAGTAAGCCTTGTAAAAATAATAGTTGCTCAAGGTACTATCTAGTGTGCAGAGACTTGTGTGCTCTTATCTGAGTAAGCTGGTGTTGAACGCCGGCATCCAAAAAAACTTCTCCCAATATCACCCTATGTCTGAGTATAATCCCCCCTTGCATAATAGTCCTTATAACAAACAGACTGAGTGATTAGCGCACATTGATATCTGCAATTTACCTTTTACAGCAAGGGTTCTGTAATGTATGTTATGGTAGTTTCTTTTTCTATGTCGTTTTAGGAATTAATTATAAGATGTATATAAGAATGTATGTTCTATGTTTTATCTGCACCTGAGGAAGACTTATTACAAGTCGAAACGCGTTGTGCTTTAACTTGCTACTTTATAATTTAGTGTTTGAATAAATACTTACTTTTGAATATCCACTTTGGACTCTGGAGTTTCTGTTTTACAACAACCTCGTGTTCCTGTGAGTGTGACTGCTGGAAAATCCATCTAATATCTCTATAATGAGATAATATGCACCATAAGTCCTGAGCCAACTTCCAATAGGCTCTAAAAAGTGTGAGTTTGCGGATTACTTCTACTTTATCAATATATGTCATATACAGGTTACACTATGCATATTTGTTTTGTATTTATGTTGACATAGGAAAAAGAAACACTATCATAACATACATTACAGAACCCTTGCTGTAAAGGTAAATTACAGATATCTATGTGCACTAATCACTTCATCTGTTTTCACAATTTTAAATGTATTGAGTGACACTGCCCTTGTTTTTTTTTTTGTTTTTTTTTAGCAGCACTAGAGATCCTCTCTATTTAGCGCCACTTTATCTTTCATTTAATAA